AGAGAAGTATTTTCTGACTTGCGGAATCGAACGGGTGACCACTCGCTCCGCGCCACGTGGCGTTGACCACTGTAACAGCAAGCTATAAATATACGCCGTTTGCCACTGGCACTTTGCCGATATCAGTAGGAATATAAGCATGTTCTCAGCTTTTCCAGCGACGTAGCACGTAGGAAACCCTCTGCGGCCTGCTCGTGTACTGTACATTGTCATAAGATGTGTGGTCCCGGCATGCTCGCGCACGTGGTTATCTCGTCGTGGCGAGAATTATGTAGTAGTTACAGTCTGCACGAATGTCGCTTAGCTCGCTGCAGTCTCTCCGTCTGCGAAAATAGCGTGCTTTTAAACACAGCCAGGTAAGAACTGTTGATTCAGTTCGCGTTTATCCTGTGTATACCTGTTCATACACGTTTCGTGCGTCCTTTGTGTTTGAGTAGCGCGTTGAGTGTCGAACTTTAAACGTTGATAGCTCGCACTCCTCCTGTGTGTGTGTGTTTCTAGCGTTCTCTTGTCTTGAGCAGCGCGCTTCATGTTTAGATCTGGCTGCTGTTTTTCGCGTGAGATGCCAATTTATTTCAATCGCCTAAATTTCTTCGCCCTTGCAATGAAACAACAGCCATATCCTCACTCAGGTTCATGTATGAGTGATATCAGCTGATATCAGCTACTATTGCTTAACCCACAAAGACGTTTTGTGTACACAACTTGTTTCTTGTAGTTCTGTAGAGTACTCGCAATGAAACATGAGGCAGCTGGACCTGCAAAAGAACTTAACCTCTTGCGTGTTAAAAGCGTCATCACACTGGTTCCTTCGATTTTTTTTGCTGCACAGGATCACTTCATTCGAGGCATCATCATGCTTGATAAGAAGCTCGACCACGAGACACATGAAGAGTACTTAACCTTCTGTTTGGAACAGTCATAACTAGAATATGATTCCCTAACGTTTCAGGCTGATATTTGATAGGGCCAACGTAAAAAATCAGAATGAATGACTTCAGGTGATTCGTATTTTAACATTGAATTAACTACGAGTAATAACTCTAAATACACGTCTGTCATTGTCTTGGCACAATTTTTTCGTAGAAATAAAATTGACTGGCTTGAAGATATGTTGCATAAAGTTGACGCATGTACTCTTTCGCCCGGACGCGAGGACGGGAGCGCGTGGCCACTGCTCTGCGCAAGTAAAGTCCCTTGATGCGCAAGCTGCCTACAGCACCATCAGCCTACAGCCAAAGAAAACACGCTCGCTATCGGCGTCATCTATTTGTGAACAAAATGACCAGCCATGGCCAGTAGACAAGCGCTGCCGAAATATGCTCCCGCTATAATAGTGCAACCACCGATGCCCGCGGCGCGTCGTCTGCAGCGAACAATTCGAGCGTAGTGCACGAGCACAGTATACTCGTAAAAACACTGTCTCTCGGCCTTGTCGGTGTCAATGGTCTTTCTCTGCCTACGTTTGCGTTCGGCTTCTCTGGCTCGCGCCTCATCGCTGTTGACGTCGCTGTTCGCGAAGGCGGTTAGTTTCGCTAACCCTCGCAACACCGGTGACAGCCGGGAAAGTTACGCGCACACTAGCGAGAAGCACGCCGCGACAGCTTCCCGCCCGTCATTGGTGGTGGTAAACATTTTAAAAAAAAAGAAAGTTTGTCAGGGAAACCAGCTCCTAGCGGCTAAGCTTTCCTGTAGAACTAGGTGGAGTCCCTAGTCAGGGACCCCATTGGTCGTGGCCGCTGTCCTAGAACGCTGTACCATGGTTTGTTGGGCCGGAAGGTCCTGGCAACCAAGCAGGAACGCCTCCCAGTCTTCTCTGGTTTGATTTGAACTGGGGGGTAAAAAAGGATTTAGTTGGCATGCCCATACCATGTGGTACTTGTCAGCAACCTCCAAACAATACTGGAAGAGGCCAGAAAAGGAAGAGTCAAAGTGTTTAGGCACTAGCAGGCACGTTAGCGTATTGGTGAATAGTCAGAGAGGAATTCTCTTGACCACCTTCCTGAGTCTTTTGCAGGGCGAAGGAGAGTGGTGGTGCGAGTCCCGGTAGTGGGTAATTATCTCTTTATAATTTAGGAGAGGAACATTATCTTCTAGATCACAGGGGTGATCGGTGGGCGAAGCGGTGAGCCAGGAATGAAGCGCGTGGGCGGCAGCGTGTGCCACCTCATTATCTGCGAGGCCCTGATGGCCAGTAGTCCATATTAGTGAGTGCGGAGAGGGGTAACCTACTAGGAGAGAATATTTAAAAATTCGGGCAGCTAAGGGTGAAATCCATCTTAGTTGAAAATTTTGGCAAGCTCATTTGGGGTCTGATAATATAATTGCAGAACTGTCGTGTGATATAGCCAGGGCAATGGCCATCTCATCAGAATTGGTAGCATTGGGTTAGCGGAAGAACAGACCACCCACCTGCCTGTCTTGGTGGACCATGGCGGTGGTATACCGAACTCCGCGGTAAGGACCGGCAATTCACGTGTAAAAAAATACGTTTTGCTTAGAGCCAAACGGGCGCCGGATAGCAAGAGACCGTGACTCTGGACGATCAGCGTGTGACTCACGGGACATATTGCTGGGGAGGGCTCGAACATAGATCGCGTATTTTCAATGTTCGGGCACTCGTACCCGCTCCTCCGAAGAAAATTCGTGCCCAATGTGTAGGCGATCTTGGAGTCGTCTGCCTGACGGGGTCTGCACCAGGCGCGTGTATAGAATTTTTGGTGAGCCTCCCGGAGCTCCCATCGCTGTAATGCGCGGCAACCAGCAGCGCGCTCTCTACATTGTCGGGACCGCGAGATTTTCGAGACGCGTGCAGCGGGCACACCCGCCGGCCCGTGGCATCCTCTTGCCGACAGGGAAAGAGAGGTGGCGTGGGTGAGATGATGCCCACGTGAGTAGTGGGTTTGAGAGTTGCGAGAGGTGGAGAGGGTGAAACGAGAGAGAGATATTACAAACCAGTTGCATGTTGCGAGGTTCCCGTCCGCGCATCCTGGTGACGCCCTTGTCGAAACGGTGACAGCGCACCACCGGCAGCAGCAAACGAGACGTTCTCTAAGCTTTTTTAACATTTTTATTTGTAAGACTTGGGAATAATAGGGCGAAAGACTGGTTCTCATTTATTTTAATGATTTATAAGCATGATTAGTGCGAACGCGGAGAAGACTCGAAAGTAACCCACTTCAGCTAGGAACGCAACCTGAAAACTAACAGTCGCACGGTACTGATCGTGAAAGGCACGCGGACACGTTGATATTGACTACAGAAAGTTTGCCAAATTCTGTCAACGAGGTGTTACGGCATATTAAGGTGCAGAAGTGCAGAAACGTTGGTGGTATACTTTTACTTACTGCAGCGAAGTTTTCGTAAAGTGCTATGGATACATCGGACTACGCTGGACAGCATCTTTGTTCTGGGAGTCTACGTTGAGCCTATTCAAAGTACGTACCTTGACTGTACACGAATACTGCATGATGCATGCATAATGTTCACTGTTTTAAATGCTAAAACGTTACTTACGGGGTCTTTAATTTATGTACACTTCGAATGACTCGCAATAGAACAACTTATTGCTGCAAGATTGTATAATCAGCAATGTCGTTTCACTCAGCCTGTATGCGGTATGACTCACTTACTAAAGTAAGTATGCGAAATACTTGTGATCTTGTGTACTGCATTGTACTATATAAAATGAGAGAAATTGAGAGTGAAAATTGCCACAACGAGCGGAAGTCAGCCATGACGCGGAAGCACACGACGACGGTGTCACCTGCGATGCGCAAGGCCAGCCGCCATATCAAAACGTCCTGGTGCTTTTGAAACGTATTTCATTTTATATGCAGCTTTAAATTATACAAACAATATTCTCAGTGATTATTTGTTCGAAAAAGATACTTGAGTATTGTAATTATTAAAAAAATTCACTTTCACATGCAGAAAATCAGTGGTTTTCAAATTCTATAACAACAGCTGACAGAATCCAGATGGTGCTATCATGGCGTCCAATTTTCGTCCTCATTGGCTCTATGAGCATGCCACTCCCTCGGCTGACACACGACGAGTGTGAGGCAGGCGAAGGAGAGAGACACTACCGCGCACTGCTAAGAGGGCGTTAGCTACTTGGCACCACTTCAGCACCTGTGGCAAGGGGAGTGGTGCGGACGAACGGACAGCGCTATACATGCTAGTCAAAGAGCTGCTTCGCATCTGAAAGAGCGCATGCAAAAAGGAGGGAATTGAGTAAGAAATACGTTGTTACTGAAGTAGGGATAGTAAGTAACTAACACGCTAGAGGCTGTTTTGGCGAAATTGTTATCAACTTGTGGAGACGTTGTCGGCAGTTACACTCTGTGTTCAACAGCCTTTCATAGCCTCAAGCTTCGACATCGTCCTCTACTTGTGTCTTGAATTGTGGGACAGATAACGTTACACCCCATAAACAGAAAACGATGTAAGAGGAAGGTGAAAGTTTGAGAAAAAAGGTCGAAAAAACAGGCATTATATGCTCTAGGCAACGCTTTGACAAGTGAACATAATTTCTGCGAAGTATAACGAATCAGTTCTTGCAAGGAAGGAGTCATGTCTACTTCACGAAACGTCGGCTCAAGCACATTACTCCTATTTATAGGTTGTTTATTAGAAATAAGCAGGTAGTAACACTTATGGTTCAAGCGATGTCATAGCGTTTGCAGTTGCTACCTATTTGCCAACAACTATTCACTGCCTAAAGATGTACACAGTGAGTACCCAGCAAGAAACTGGCATTGCCACAGGAACTAGTCTACCTGGGCTATGCTAGCTTTTTTCTGCGTCTGTGAACGCTGTACTTTGAACATTCTTGCTTTGTTAGAAAACTGCCGTTTAAAAGCTCCAAAAATGATGAATGAGGAAGGGTTTGGAGTTTCTACAGCAGAATTGAAGACTTGCGTCATATCGGGGAAAATTAATCATAAATAATGCTGTATGTGATAAACCTGCTACAGCCATTGCATTCCTTTGCTCAGGTTGTCGACGTGAGCACCCGTGACAAACTTGGTCCACACCAGATCGGGGAAATTTGCTTTCGAACGCCATCTATGGTGAGGGGATACTACAAAAGGCCACGTGAATCTGCCGAGCTGTTCGACGAAGAAGGATGGTGCAAATCGGGTAAGTCTTGATGTGCGATCTCAACGTTTTTATTATGTAATACTATTGGTTGCGTAAAGTCACGTCCAACATTATCTTGCGTGTAAATCCTCTGTCTAATAGACGTCGTTAAGCAGTTGGTGATGAAGCTACTATTACGGCGTACAACTTGCAGGAGCGTTGCACGCCATCATTTGAACACCCTTCATTTAACCCTTCCACACAAAATCAGTGTGTGAAACTCGCCGTCGTAGCTGGCCACGTGAGTTGCCCATTTGCTAAGCTTGAGAGTGCGTGGTTAACTTCACGCCATGATTCCATTCAGAGGTAGGCTAACCAATGCCGTGGATTTGCAGGATTGTTAGAACATTCCATACAGTGTCCTAAGTTCCGCGCCATTCCTGTCGGGACAGCTATATGTCTCCAATCTGTTCTGGACTGTCCAGTTACAACGCAAGTCACGCTACCGAACATAAAGTTCGCAAACATCACGAGCACGAAGCAATGCTGTATTGGCTGGGGGTGACTCCGAGTGCCTTTAGATACTTTAGATGAACTTCCAACTGACGTACGACCACTTTCGCGATTAAAATATGCAGCAAGGCTTAGTTTCGCGACCATCGCGTCGCCAGCTGATCTGACTTAACTACCAATGCACACAAGGCAAGCGCAGTAACGAAGTGATAGAATAATATGAAAGCTAAAGATGCCTTGAAACACTTTTTCGAATAACCAGGGAACGAATTCACTTGAAGAGCTGATTGTCTAATGAACTGAACGACGCAAATTATTTCAAAATCTGTCCAGTTCGAACGGCCTTCCAAAGATTCGTCGCATGCTGCAATTGCATTATCTCTTCTCTCGTCCTCCGCGTGATAGACCTAGTGTCGGAAGAAGTGGAGCTCGGAGAGCGGGGCACTCCTTGGGGATCTGTCCTCGCGCTGACGCTATTCAACCTTGTGATGATTGGGCATTCTGAACTACTTTCGAAAATCGACAGGCTAAACCACACTATCTGGGTGGACGATGTAACCATATGGTGCTCCACAAGGTCGGATGGCTTCATTGAGTCCGGCCTGCAAGAGGCCATCGACTCCACTGAGTCCTACCTCAACCACACCGGTCTCAGGAGCTCACACGCGAAGTCGAAGCTGCTGACATATTTGCCCAAACGCCACGGTGTCAAGCCCAAAGAGTGGAAACCTCCAGTGGAACGCAATATCACCCTCCATACCAGAAATGGTCGTACAGTCCCCAGGGACCTTGATGCACCATCAAGGTCCTCGGCATTATCATCGAGTCCCGCGGAAACAACACTGAAACAGTACACAAGCTCAAGACTAAGACTGAGAATGTCATACGACTCGTACGTAGAGCAGCGAACCGGCACCACGGCCTCAAAGAAGAGACAACATGCTGCGTCTTGTACACGCGACTGTTTTGTGCTATTTTGCCTGCGTCGCCACTGTACGCCAATGGCTACGTGCTGAGCGCAATCGACTCAATGCGCTTATTCGCAAGGTTCTCAACGAGCCCTTGGCCTCCCTATCACCACTTCAACGCAGAAACTCCTTGAGCTTGGCGTACATAACACGCTAGAAGAGATTGCCGAAGCTCAGGAATGCCTGCAATTGACCCAACTCACCACCACCCAGGGCTGGCTGCCATATTCTGCGCGAGCTCGGCTTCTTCTCCTCGACGGCCAGGGACCCCCCAGAGTTGACTCTAATTTCCCATTAAATCAGGTACATTATCACAATCGCTCCTATTCCGCGAAATGTACACCCCGAAAACAACAGAGGCAGGTGCTTTGCGCGGGTGACCGCCATTCTCGAGCGCATAGACATAGAAGTGGGCAACGTCTTGTTCGTGGACGCCGCTGCCCATCACAACAACCGAGCCTTCGCCGTGGTCTCGGTATCATCCGCGCAACAGATTCTTAACTCTGCCACAATCCTCACCTGGAACCTCGAAGTAGCAAAGCAAGTAACTATAGCTATGCTCGACAGCAAACGAGAACTCATCTACAGCGACACCAGACCAGTCACCAAAGCTTTCCAACACGCAGTGATCTCCGACCAAGCTTTACGTATCCTGCGTACAGTGGACCCAAGTGCCCTGAAGCACCACACTATCATCTGGTTCCCCGCCCATCTCGGCCAAGTGCCAGGTGCCCCATCCAACCTCAACGAGATCACCGCGGACGCAGCGCGCGCACTTACCAACCGTGCTGAAACAAGGCAACCCCATCTCGCTGAGTTATAGACAAATCGCGATGCACCCATTACGTACAACGACTTAACAAAGCACTTTTACCTTGAACGCCGCAATTTCCCACCCCACATCTGAAACTTAGCAGACCACAGGCGTTAAGCCTACGCCTTTTCCAGACACACTCGTATCCAAACCTTGCCAAGCTTCACGTTGATTATCCTGATGCATACCCCAGCGACACATGCCCATCGTGTGGACACACGGCGACACTCGCACACATGCTTTGGAAGTGTAAAAACACTTTTCCAGGCTCTACCTCAAACAAATGGGAGAGGTCTCTCAAGAGCTCATTTCTCGTTGATCAGCAATGGGCCGTCCAGCAGGCCCACGAAGCGGCCGCCAGGTACTCCCTGTCGTCCCCTACGCGGGAGACGCCCGCTACGCGCTAAGCGCGTCCTGCAGGACTGGAGTAAAGGTTTTTTCATTCTATTTCATTCTCTCGTCCGACGAAAGTGCTGGAAACTAAGCAGGGAGAGATGGCAGGCGCAAAGAAAAACGTCACGCACGTTTCTTGACCTTGAGCACTGTTTTCTTTTTTCTTCAAATGCGCAGCTTTTTCAGTGTGATCACGCGCGCAGGCGTAGACAAGTCGCGGCTTCTGTGGTGATCTCTACAACGACCAAGCACGCCATGATCCAATAAGCCAATGGCTGATAGATGGGCTTACTACGAGTGATGTTCGAGCTTATTCCGTGATATGTCGACTGAAGAGAAAGCAATTTGAACTCATATTGACCATTTATTGTGAATTCCAAGCAACGTGCTGCGCTATAATACTTGGCTCGCGTGTTGTCGCGAGCCTCTACTACCAATCGGCAGCGTTTTTTGACAATGCTCAAAAAGTGTTGCAGGGCCCCGGTTGAGCGGCCAATCTCCGGCAGTGGATAAAAGCCACTTGCAAAGGGCGAAACAAGTAAGCGAACTGATTTCGCTGGCTGTGTGTTTGTGTCCCCCTCCCTTTCCCACAGTCCCGACATCTTTTGTTCAGGAGTTAACTCTATACGGAGTATGTTTGTCGTAGGACCTGTGGTCTGCACTGCCCCCTCACGTCATGCCTCGCATTCGTAGAGTCGTTTTCGCCCGTATGCTTTTAGTTGAAATATACGAAGAGGCTAAGCATATTCGAAAGTTGGTTGGTTGGGCAGAATACACTTAGGTGCCCAGCAGTACTACGGAATTAGAACATGAACCGACGAACACCTTGGAGCAGGAGATTCACTAGAGTTCTTCACCTAAAGACAAGGGAGCGTTATTATGCTCACATAGCGTAGCATTCAGCGCTATACCAACTTTTACAGACAAGAAGATTGAAAATGTTACACCGCTCTTTTAGAAATAAAGTTTCACCTTTTCTGAGCAGTGGTATTCGCAACTTTTACCGCTAACTGATTTAAGATCCTTAGGTAGTTTGTCTCGTTAGTTGACTTCTATAGCAAGAAAGTATATCTGTTTTACTGATAAAAAACGCAGGCATTCACAATGTACCGCAATATATTTTTAAGTATAGTGATGTCGGAAAATTATTCACCCAAGGGGTGCAAGCGAGCTACGTGGGGCCCACTAGAAAAAATTTATGGCTGTTTCGCACTCGTTGTGCCTTTTCTTTTTCCCTTTGTTTCCCTTACTTCCCTCTTTTTTTGAGATCGCCATTTCGTGTATTTGTTTTTTCTCTTTTTTCTTTTCTCTGCGTTTCTATTTATTTTCTCTTTCTCTGCCTTTTTGTATTTTTCGATTTCTTCTCTTTCCATCTATCTAGTAGTTTTAATCTTCTTTGGTGCATCCTTGGCTCTTTATGTCTTTCTCTGTCTTCTGTCATTCTACTTCTGTATCTTTTTCTGTATCTCTCTTTGCCTCCCTCTACTTTCTCTTTATCTTTTTTTCTGTGTTTTTATTTCTTTCTGTCTCACGTGTTTCAAAGCCTTGCCTTTCACCAACCAGATAATTCGTTTAACGCTCGTACCTGCCGTAGTCTTTAGACGTGCTTACTGAATTCCCCTGACGTGTACCGTTGCTAATGTTCGTCTAGTAACGACTCAGGACACAAGAGGGCGGGAACAAGAATCAAAGCGCAGTGTCAGCTTGGGAGAAGTGTCAGCCTGAGAGAAGATGAACCGTGGTGCGGTGTAGCTGGTACTGAAACACCACTGGTGGACACCAGTCGAGGGTGTGGTGTAGATCGGCACGCACGATGCAGAATCAATGGGGCTACATGATGCAGGAGCACAACAGTCAGTGGACCTAGTCTCAGAAGGACCACACTAATCATCACTAACGTTTCCTGTCCACTCTGCAAGAGTCTGAAGCATTTTCCTGTCCACTCTGCAAGAGTCTGAAGCATACGCCTTCTGTTACGTATAAAAGCCCGACCATCATCCGTTTTCACACTATAGTACCTCGGAGATGTTCATCTCAATGTAGTATGTTTCGGACAAAATGTTGAGTCCCTAAGTCGTTTGATCGCCCCTCTACTCAAGGGTGATAAGGGCTTTCCGACGTCGCTCTGATTATGCTTCTTGACTGTTGTTGACTGCACGTTGCCAAAGTCTGGTACACGAACCTGAGATGCCCACCTTGGCGTTTTCCGGGTGATCGGCCTCCCACAAGCAGCGTAGAGTGGTTAACTAGGAAACCTAGCCAGACGTCTTCTCGTAAGTCTTTGCTTTTCTTCAAAAGGCGTTTCTTTCTCTGTAACCCTTTTTCAACCTGACTGTTTGACAGTGGTAAGTGCAAACTTGATGTCACACAAG